GCCTTGCCGATGTTTGGTCGGAAGGTTGTTGTATGTACATAGGAGGTTTGCGATAGGGCCGGGTAGGGGGTTTAGGCTATGAATTCTATGCATACGGATACTGATACTGTTTATCGTGATACTGCTTTTAAAATAATTATACGGGATAACTGTGCGATAATGGTGAGCTTGTTGGTTGCTCACCCCCATTATTTTCTTTGTTGTTTTCTCTCTTCCTTTGTTTTAGGTTGAGACGAGCTGGAGGCGGTGGCGTAGGACGAGCGAGATGGTGGTCACTGTTTGATGATATATTATGCTTCCGCATGTTTATGATTTGTTGAACTGAAACTTGACTTGAATTATTTTCTCGTTTGGATTTGGATATTTTATTATGTGTTAATATCCCTGCTTGATTTCGTATACTGATTATGTGTTGCGCATGAATTTGTTACTTAATCATTTGCTTTCATACCTTGGATTGTTTATTTATTTGCCTTTCGACCTATGTTTGAGTTTTCGTTTGAACCTGGATTCTTGCTAGACGTTTGGGAATGATTTTGAGATTTATGTTTAAGCGATTGTTTAATTTGATAGCTCAGGCATGTGTAGGTTCTTTGGTTTGATTGATTGGACGTGTTCATTTGCTGTGATTAATAAGTAGCGCCCGTTTCTCGATAAATGTTTTTAATTTGAATTAAATAAAAAAAAATAATAACTCTGATTAATATCAAATAAATTCGGTAAATTCTTTAAAATAAAACGGGGCGTTACATTAGGATTGAATCCCAATTGACTGCACCCGGCACGCCCCAGCAGAACGGGGTTGTAGAGCAAAGAAATAGGACTCTTATGGAGATGGTTAGGTCGATGATGAGTTATTCAAGATTACCAGATTCGTTCTGGGGTATAGCGTTGGAAACAACATCGTCCATTCTGAACATGGTTCCATCGAAGTCAGTTGAGACTACTCCTTATGAGATGTGGAAAGGGCGCAAGACCAATTTCTCACAGTTTCGAGTTTGGGGTAGCCCTGCACACGTGTTAGTGCAGGAACCTGGCAAGTTGGAGAAACGTTCGGAAGCACGAGTTTTTGTTGGCTATCCCAAGGGAACGAAAGGTGGATTATTTTATAGTTCCGAGGATCAGAAGGCGATCGTTAGTACGAACGCCAGATTCTTGGAAGAAGACTATATTATGAATCATAAGCCCGTGAGTAGACTTGTCTTAAAGGAGTTGAGGAGTGAAGTCGATAGTTCCCCCACCGAGTGCGCAAGTAGATACATCACATAATACTGCAACACGAAACACTGAGAGTGTGCCAGTGCAGGCAGTATCTTGTCGTAGTGAGAGGGTTTCTCATTTACCCGACTGATGGATAAGTCTTGGAGTCATCGGACTCAGTTCCAGGAGACCTAGAATCGGAGCCAAGGACCTACCACGAGGCACTCCAAGATAAAGATGCAAATTCATGGAATGTTGCAATGAAAGCTGAAATGGGGTCAATGGACTCCAATCAGGTCTGGGATCTTGTAGAACTACCCGATGGGATATGACCCATTGGATGTAAGAGGGTCTATAAGAGAAAAAAAGGATCGGATGGGAAGGTGGAAACCTACAAATTTAGGCTTGTTACGAAAGGTTATGCCCAAAAAGAGGGTATTGATTATGATGAGACATTTTCGCCAGTAGCTATGCTTAAAATCATTCGGATTTTCTTGGCTATAGCCGCTCATATGGATTATAAGGTCTGGCAGATAGATGTCAAGACGACTTTCCTTAACGGAAACCTTCAGGAGGACATCTATATGCAGCAACCAGAGAGATTCATTGATAAGGGACATGAGCATCTAGTGTGTAAGCTTAATCGGTCTATTTATGGATTGAAGCAAGCTTCGAGATCTTGAAATATCCGGTTCGATGAGGTGATCCAGTCGTACGGGTTCACTCAATTTCCGGATGAGCATTGTGTGTAAAAGAAAATAAGTGGGAGCGTGCTGGTGTTTCTTGTGCTTTACGTAGATGACATACTTTTCATTGGAAACAATAAGAAGGAGTTGTCAGACGTAAAGTTTTGGTTGTCTCAGCAGTTTGATATGAAAGACTTAGGTGAAGCAGGATACATTCTTGGTACTAGGGCCATTCGACACCGTAAGAAGAGAATGTTGTGCTTATCCCAGTCTACATACATAGATACTATCTTTGGCAGATTTAGTATGCAAGATTCCAAGAAGAGTATGTTACCTTTCAGACATGGAATAGGTCTATGCAAGGAGATGTCTCCTAAGACGTCTCAAGAGATAGAAGACATGAAGACAGTTCATTATGCTTCGGCAGTATGAAGTCTTATATATGTTATGCTGTGTACGAGGCCAGATAATAGCTACGCCGTTGGCATGGTAGCTGGATATCAAAGTAATCCGGGACGGGAACATTGGTCTGCAGTGAAACATATACTCAAGTACCTGAAGAGGACTAAGGAGTACATGATAGTTTACCATGCAGACAGCTTGTTACGTTTAGGTTACAGCGATTCCGATTCCCAGTCAGATAGGGACGAGAGTATCAACCTCAGGTTATGTGTTTACCTTGGGAGATGGAGCCATTTCATGAAGGAGTGCCAAGAAGAAATGCGTGGCAGACTCCACCATGGAAGCCGAGTACATCGCAGCTTCTGAGGCAGCGAAAGAGGCAGTTTGGCTCAGAAACTTCTTAGTGGACTTAGAGGTGATTCCGAGTTTGCCACGTTGTATCACAGTGTTGTGATAACAGTGGAGCAGTAGCGAACTCAAGGAAACCACGAGCCCACAGAGCAAGCAAACACATAGAGCGCAAATACCATGTGATACGACATATCGTTGGTAGAGGAGACGTTGATGTTGCTAAGATTGCATCAGAGGACAACATAGATGATCCTTTCACGAAGAGTTTGCCGGGAAAAGTCTTCGTCAAACACGTGGAAGGAATGGGAGTCAGGTGCATGGTGATAGGATCGACATAGGTCTTTTAGAATTACGAATTGGTAGGACTATACTTGTAAAAGCGAAAGCTATAAGTATAAGTGGGAGATTGTTAAAGTTATATACTGAAAGCTTGGCTTCGAATGATATTACTTTTTTACCCTTTATGAATGAGAATCATGTTTGATTAAACCAGTTCTATATTCTGTTGTTTTGCACTTTGATGGAATGGGTCGTCGTCGGGCGAATAGAAGATCATTCTATCAGTCACTTGCGAAACAAAAATTGTGGTTCACAACCTAGATGGAAATGAACATCCCATCCGAACTGTTGTAGTGCCAACAGTACAGTTGGTATTGACTGATTAGTTGCACTAGTACATTTATATATTGAACAGGATCTCGGAGAGGAGAAGTTCGTTTTATACTGATCGTCGTAAATGAACTAGGCCTCGGTTAATTACTGCGTTCTCTTAACCCGTAAGATATTAAACAGACATATATATGCAGTACATATTACTTTGATTCACTTGGGTGAGGTTCAGTTCGCTGGATTAATACTCTTACTGTCTTGGGTAATATTGTTGTATGTATGATGTGCTGTTAGGATATTTACGGTCACCATGTGCGCTGGTTTGACGATGTCTCTGAAGTGAGTTCATGAAGGATTGTTATGCTAAACCCTGCAGGTGGATTACGTTCCGACATAATAATAATGTGATGAATGAGCGCTAGCTTCGGAGAAATAAAAAATATATTAATTAATTGTTGATTGTCAATAATCGAATTAATTAATGGACATTATATCTTAAACATGGAATGGTAAATCGGGTAATTATAATTGGAGTCTCAAATGTAATTTGAGCTAGAAAAAAAGAGTGCAATTATATTATGTTGGTGGACCGTAATATTATTTAAGTAATTGGAAGAGTGGGCCTGGTCTACAGTTAGTCCATTAGTTAAGAAGCCCTATTCCTAAACTCCTAAGGATCTCTACTGTAGTTCTATATATATACATATATATATATGTGTGTGTGTGTGTGTATATATATATATATATAATTAAGCTCATGAGAAGAGAACATAACATTAGACTCGTGTGAAACGCACGACCCATATACTCTCTCTCTAGATCTCATTCGAGCTTTATCTTCTTCTCGTTGTTCCACCGGTACGAGTTAAAGAGGTGTGTGAGTAATAGAGTAGAAGATCCCGAAGGTAATCGAGACCCCGTGATCATCTACAGAAGTCGACGAATCTCAACCTGAAGGCCGAGATCCGTCGACCCCAGCCCAGTTGGACCACCGTCGCGACCCGCCTGAGAAACCGCGACGACCGATGACCCTATCGCGACCGCTAGCCCCGCACGACGTAATTCCGGCGACTCTACATGACCAGCCGACACGACCCAACCGATCGCACGCGACCCCGCCTCTCGTTCGTGTGATCCACCTTCCGTTGCTATTCCCGGTCATCCCGAATCCGACAAATTTAGAAAATTTTAAGCCGTAAGTTTTCTACGTCATACCTTTAGATCCGCGGCGCATAGGTTTACGCTTGCTATTGAATTCGTAACTTGTACATAACGAGATCCTCATAGATCCTAACAAATTTGACTTAAAAATTAAAATGGCCATTAAACTCAAATCCAAAAATCTCATAAACTTCCAAATCACAATAACACATCAATTGGGTCTAAATCCACGGAATTTCCACAAGAAGAGGCAAGATCCACTGATTTTGCATGAAAATCAAATAGATCTAAATTTAAAACATATGGATCGGTACCCAAACATATGGATCCATCCAAGTATCATAAAAAAACTCAAAATAACAGAGGGGAAAAGCCAAATTACCGCATACCAAAGGAATCGACAAGCAAAAAGGTTGAAGGACTCAGGTAAGGGGCAGCCTTGGCGGCTATAGCGCGGCTCGGCTGTGGGAGTTGTGTCTCACCGCGAGAGGGAGGCTGAAGGCGTAAGGTTCGTGTTCCTAGTGATCGTCCGACCCTCAAATCATGGCGGTCATATGTGGGAGGTGTAGTAGATCCTACTCGCAGTTGAAGATGCATGTTGCTGGGGGGTTCTACGCACATGGTGCGGCGTGGTGGACTGAGGGGGATGGCGTTCGCGCGCGGCTGGGGAGGATAGCGGCCGAGAGGGAGATTCAAAGGGCGATGAATGATTTCATGAATTTTTCTCAATGGTTTTGCTTCTGGTTTTTTGAGAGTTAGAGAGAAAGGGTCAATTTCTGATTTGGCTAAGTAAAATTGTGATAATGATGGGGAATGGAGGTGAAATAGTGTCTTAAGGCACAAGATACAATCAAGGCCATAAGTATGATATGACTACCATATTCAGACACCATTAAGGCCATTAAATCCCTTATGACACGGCCAGAAAAGGAGGAGAAAGGGACGATGTGATTTGGTCAGTTGCCTTCGCAAAAAGTTGAATTTCAAATGGTAGATGAGCTCAAAATTCTACTAAGGCAAAATGGTTCTCAACAATTACAAAGGGCCGGTTTTGGGCATCATTTGGGCTGAATTGTAGGCTTATAAAATGGGCCAAAAATACATCTCCAATGTCGGATTAGAATGACTCGAAATGAGTCGAGACAGAGAAGAAACGATTCTACGCGATTGAACCGAACATTACCGAATAATAAAACTAGGAAAAATTACACTTTGCCTACCCAATTATTCGCTTTTTTACACTTTGCCCACCAAACTTCGTTTTGCGACACTTAACCAGGCAAAACTTCATGAAATTTGCACTTCACCTGTTTTCGGTCACCGCCGGCCATTCTCAGGGGCTTTTCTGTCTTTTCCTTCTCTAAAACAGGGATAAAATTCCCAATTCTCAATTGGGGTTCAATTAAACGCGACAGAAAGATAAAAAACCCTAGTTTTATTCAAATCGTGCCAAAAATTCTGAGAAAAAACAAAGAAGAACAAACCAAATGAACTGATTGAAAATCTATATTTTCTTCAAATCGTTTGTAATGGGTTGGCAAATTCGTGAGAAAAACGATTCATCCAGTGCGAATGGCCCGTCATATGGTAAGTTTTGTTTTGTGTTTTTTGCTGACAAAATATGTTAATTCATACAACAATTATTGTAATAATTTTGCAGTTTATAGTGATTGACTATATTTTTGTAATTGTCATATGGGTTGCAGGACCAAATGATGAATATTTTACAATTAGGGTTTACCATTGTGGCAAGTTTGTGGATTTGGGCCGCAAGTGTTATCTAAATGGTGAGATTTCACATGTCGATTATTGTCACCCTGATGAAATGTCATTGATTGAAGTAATGAGCATGCTAGAAGATTTAGGGATCGATGCTATAAAAAATGTGTACTGCAGTAGGAGTGGTGTTAATGACTGCAATGACCTTGTGTTGTTAGAAAATGATCATATTGTCATGCAAATGGTGTTTATGGTGGATGAGCATAAATTAGTTGGTCTGTATGTGGAACATGAAATAAACACCTCTGAAAACTCAGTTGAACTTCCTGCAATTAGTGAGCCTTTGGAATTTATAGGTGATAATAAAGGTGATAATGATGAATATGAACTGATTGAAAATCCTTCTTCTATGGGTGGTAATGTGGATGATCATGATAGGGGTAGGGGCACTTTTGATAATGGTTTGAGTAGTGATGATGAGCAATCCTTAGGGTCAGATTCTGAACTATCTGAAACTTTTGATGACAGTGAAGGAGAGAAATCTGATTTTGAATGTGATAACGATTGGTTTGATGATAATATTGATCTTGATGTGGAGTTTGGGGGTGTGGGGATGGATTTATCTCAAAGTATTTCAAAGTCTGTCAAAACTAGGGCAGAAAGTAGTAAGGGTCATAAGGGTCATGCAATTTTCAATGAGAAGTCAAATATGAATAACCCTAAGTTTGAATTAAGAATGTTCTTTCCTGATATGGCCCAATTCAGAAAAGCAGTGAGAGAAAGTGCAATAAAAAATGGTAGAGATGTTTGTTTCAAAATTAATGAGAAGACCAAAGTTCAGGTGAAATGTAAGCATCAAAAGTGTCCATGGGTCATTTATGTTGCAGTGTTGTCAGGTGAAGACAGTGTTCAAGTTAGGAATTATAACCCCATACACAGATGCCCTAGGAATCAAAGGGTGTCTCATGCCAACTCCAAATGGTTGGCTGAAACTTATAGAGAAAAAGTATGGTCTGATCCTAGATGGCCTGTTAAGTCCATGCAGAAAGTCATGCAGAGTGAGCACAAACTTGTTTTCAACACTAGTCAGTTATATAGGGCCAAACAGAAAGTGTTAGCAAGTGGGTCTGGGGGACATTGTGAACAGTTTGCTATGTTGTGGTCATATGCTGCTGAGATTAGAAAGACAAATCCTGGCACTTCAGTCAAAATCAAGTGTAAGAGGATTGGGGAACAAACTTTTTTCAAAAGGTTATATATATGTTGGGGAGCCTTAAGGGATGGGTTGTTAGATGGGTGTAGGCCAGTGATATTCTTAGATGGGTTTCATTTAAAGACATCAATTGGGGGGGGGTTATGTTGACTGCTGTGGGCATAGATGCCAACAATGGCATGTATCCCTTTGCATATGCAGTAGTTGAAAAGGAGAAGAAAAAATCTTGGAGCTGGTTTCTGGAGTTACTAATTAATGACTTGAATATTAGAAACCCCTACCATTGGACATTCATGTCAGATAAGCAGAAGGGTTTGGTAGAGTCCATTGACACTCTTCTACCTGGGGCTGAGCATAGATTTTGTGTGTAGCATCTCTATGCCAGTTTCAAAGCCTCACATAAGGGCCTAGCTCTTAAGACTTTGCCATGGAAAGCTGCAAGAGCCACCAGAGTTCAAGATTTCAAGAACACCATGATGGAGCTGAAACAAAGGGAAGTACCTGCCTTTGAATGGTTAAATGCTAGGCCACCTGCACATTGGTCTAGGTCTCACTTCAGTACACACTCTAAGTGTGATGCTCTGTTGAATAACTTGTCAGAAATTTTCAATGCTTTAATTATAAAGGCTAGATCTCAACCAATAGTGAAAATGTTAGAGATGGTGAGGATGACACTGATGAAGAGAATCCATGTTAAGAGGGATAAAATGCTGAAATACCATGGAAATCTGTGCCCTAGAATTGATAAGCTGCTTGAAGAATTGAAAAAGAAGAGCATGGAATTTGTGGCATATTGGAATGGTAAGGACCAGTTTGAAGTTGAGGGCAGTTCAGGAACCAAGTTTAAAGTTCACATTGGTGAGAAAACATGCACTTGTAGAAAGTGGGAGCTTAGTGGCATCCCTTGTCAACATGCCATATCAGGGATGTATTACTTAGGTCATGAACCTGAGGATTATGTTGATGAATCATTGAAGAAAGAAACTTACTTGAGGGTTTACAGTCATTTGATGGGAACTTTAGCTAGCTCAGATGAGTGGCCTGAGGTTGAGGCTCATCCATTAGTCCCACCAGCAGTTGGGAGATTACCTAGAAGGCCCAAGAAATATCAAAGGAGGAGAAGCAAAGATGAAACCAGCGGAAAAAATCTGAGTACACATCAAACTGGCAATGGTGTGAGGCTCAGCAAAAAAGGAGTGGTCATGAAATGTTCATTTTGTAAGCAACCAAATCATAATGCTAGGGGTTGTCCAAAAAAACCTGTTTCAGAAAAAACCACTCAAGGGTTAGATGTGCCAGCTGCCAATGAGAATGCAAGAAAGGTACAAATTACAATCATTTGTTGTAATCACAATTTATATTTTTTATTTTCTGTTCATTAAACCCAGTTTATATTGCATTGTAGGCCACAAGATAAAGAATTAAATCAGTTTTCTGCTGTAACGCCCCGTTTTATTTTAAAGAATTTATCGAATTTATTTAATAAAAATCAGAGTTTAAACGGAAGCATAGGTTTTCAACACATATGACCACCATCTCGCTCGTCCTACGCCACCGCCTCCAGCTCGTCTCAACCTAGAACAAGGAAGAGAAAAGACAACAAGAAAAATAATGGGGGTGAGCAACCAACTAGCTCACCATTATCGCACAGTTATCCCGCATAATTATTTTAAAAGCAGTAGCACAATAATCAGTATGCATAGAATCCAATAGTCTAAACCCCCTACCCGGCCCTATCGCAAACCTCCTATGTACATACAACAACCTTCCGGATACGACGGCATCGCTGTAACTGGAAACCTTCCCACCCCCGGATACAACGGTACGTGGGATCCTTTCCAGGAGACAGTGAAGTTGAATTACCCCTCCGCTCTACACGGATTCGAGTAAATCAGACAATCCCCTCCGCTCTCCACGGATTCGGGCGTCCACCTCCCGGATACAACGGGCAGGCGACTTCCACTGCTTTCGCATTCATCAAGGCACTAGCGTTCGGGACACTTAGACTAGAGTTCTCATGCATACAATAATTTTCAAAAGAAACATTACACGAAATAAGGAGTGCGATAAAAATATGGAATACATCATAAATGTACCCACCTGATAGCAGCAACAGTTCACAGAACCACAAATCCAGAAACGAGGCAAGTTCAACACCTCTTAAACACCTACATTACGACAAGATCCTACAATCAGAATCTATCTCGACTTAAATCGGAAATCACAAGGCAAACCTAGTCGAACTCGTTTCGACTAAGTAGTTCGTGAAGTCCTGTGGATGTTGGAACACTAAGACTCGGCTATAAACTCGACCAAACCACATAAGGGAGTTCACACAAATCCATCTAAGGATTGACCAAGTCAAACTCACATGAAAACTAAAAGCAAGCCGATTTCCAAATTTCATATAAAAATCATGTTCGGAAATAGAAATCATTTTAATCGCATAAAATTAGATGGTCAAGCTACCCTATGAATTAAGCTCTGAAAATTTACACAAAATTTTAACTCCCAGAAACATGTAAAATCACAAAGTTTCAGCTTTAAACTCGAAATACCCTATTTTATAAAATTCAAACAGTAATTCAGCAAAAAGGGCACATTAATTCATACTCGGACTTAATGAATGAAACTGAACCTGAAAATTTTACATAACAACATTCAGTATGTCAAAGCTCACTTATAAAAATTTCAGCTTTAAATGATAACTGCTGCTATTTTTAAAAATTCAAACGAGCAACAGCAGTTTATCAAATTTAAATTCAAGCTGAATCAAAACAGACACCAAAAATTCCCATATTTTACAAACATGATCAAACACCTAAGATATGACTCTCAGCAAAATTTCAGAATTTTCCATGCAGTAACCGATTTTTTAAAAATTCAAACAACATTTCTGCCGAAACAATAAATAAAATATTATCCATATCATATCAACTCCAAAAATTCCAAAATTTTAACACAACACAGATAAGTCACAGAGGCACGACATATTCAAATTTCAGCTCATTTCAGTCAAGCATGAATTTATTATGCATTTAACAATATTCTGGACAGAATACAAATTAATTATTAAGAATAGCTACAGGTCTCCAAAATTTATGAAAATTTTGCACAAGGCAGAATATGAACAGATAACACATCCCTCAAAATTTCACATCGTTTCGAGCAGCGAGCTATTTTTAAAAATTCGAACACCGAAACAGCGATTAACAAGCTCGACAACTTGACAATTAAATCACAACATGAAATTTATCGTCCGAGGCCTTTTCATAAGACCAAGGACTCGACATTGTTCCATTATCCACCGACTTACACGACTTTCGAGGTCTCGTTCGATTTTTGAGAAAATCGAAGAGATCCCGAACATACGAACACAATAATCACAACAATTCATATATTTGAACATATTCACACAATAAATTCACATTATATATATAACACGAGCACTACACGAATATGAACAATTCAACGAACATATATGAATTAAACGAGACGGAAAAACGACGAGGTACCGTTCTCGGGAAAATCGAAAACGAAACGAACACGAACGGGGCTCGACGGATTCTCGCGTCTCGCCGGAAGGAGAAGGTGCTGCAGCGGTTTCGAGAGGGGATGGGTCGCTGCTGCTAGGTCGCCGGACGTCGCTGCAAGGTCGCCGGAGAAAAGAGCTCGCTGGTTCGTCGCCGGGAAGCCGTGCGTGGAGGAGACTCGTCGGAAATTCTGTGCGTGAACAGGGTTCGCCGGAGTTGCAGAGGCTCGCCGGCTTGCTGTGGAGGAAGACGTCCGGCTTCTTCTCACTGGAGGAGAGCTCGCAAGCGGAGAGAGGCTCGTCGTCGGGGCGCTGCTCGCAGAGGGGGAAGGGACTCGCCGGAAAAGAAGCTTGCGGCGGCAAGGAGTTACAGGCGGCGTGTTCGTCGCGGATGGCTATTCGTGAGCAGAGGAACTCGCTGGAGGATGAAGGTGCCGATTGGTTGCGGCGGCGATGGGTTCTGATCGCGAGATGGCAGCGGCGCTCGAGGAGGGAGAAAGATGACGACGGCTATGGCGGCAACTCACGTGCAAGGCTTCAACGAAGGACGGTGGCAAGAGAGAAAGAACAAGAGATCGACTTGCGCGTGAACAGAGAAAAGAAAAGGAAACGGCGAGGGGTAGAGAATTGGGAGCGGCTGCGCGATCGTTTATTGAAGGAGTTTAGGGTTGGAAAATCTCTCTCCCAATAAAATAACATCACACGCTCAAATCATGAGAGGACCTAATTTTTTGGGCCATTGGGCCGGTTTTAGGCTCGCGGGCCGGTCGATCGGACTGGTTCGCGACAAAGAAATCGGCTCACGGGCCCGATTACAATTCAATCGGATATTCTCGGGCTCAATATCGAATGCAAACCCGCGATAAAATAAACCGAACAATATATATATATATATATATTTCATATTTTTATAATACACATTAATAATTAAATATATCACAAAAATCAATTAGACAATTACACATTTAGCATTTAATCACATTTGACAATTAATAAATATAAATATTATCACAATAATAATAATAATAATAATAATAATAATAATAATAATAATAATAATAATAATAATAATAATTACTACAAATAAATCACAAATAAATGGGGCATTACATCTGCATTAAGAGGTGAAGGGTCAATTGTGTTGTCACCAGAAAATGAAGTTGGAAGAGTGGTACAATTTATAATCATTAGGTGTAATCTTTTTATATTTTCTAATTTTTGTTCATTAATCTCAGTTTATTTGCATTTTAGGCCACAAGATCAAGAATTAACAAACCAATTTCTGCATCAAGAAGTGAAGGGTCAAATGTGTTGTCAACAACAAATGAAGTTGGAGGAGTGGTACAATTTATAACAATTAGTTGTAATCATTATATATTTTCTAAGTTTTGTTCATTAATCTCAGTTTATTTTGTATTTGTAGGCCACAAGATCAAGAACTAAAAATCCAGCTTCTGCATCACCAAATGAAACTGGAAGAATGGTATAGTTTATAAACATTTGTTGTTATCTGATTTATAGAAATGTAATTGTTGTTCTCTAACCCTTTATTTTTGCATTGTAGGCTACAAGGGCAAACAGTAAGGTAATAATTACTTAATTTAAGTCTGTTATGGTGAAGTTCATGATTAGGTTGTAACAAACACATCTGTGAAATCTAATTGTTGTTATCTGATTTATATACTTGTTTCACAGGGTACTAAAAGAGTTCTTGAAGTGGGTGTTTGTGGTGGAGCTGAGCCTTTCAAAGTTGCTACTACCCAACAATCTCAGAATGCACATAAAGCCAAAAAAATTAACATTCACAAGGGGAAGGATAAGAGGAACAAGACCCCTGAAAAAGCTAGGCATTAGATAATGTGAAGTTTTCAACAGTTTGGTGTGTTTTTGTTGGCAAGTTGTACAGACAATTGTAATGAATGGTCATGCACTTTTTTTGCTTTTGTTTTTGGTTTTGCTACTGATGTGTTTTCTACCCCCCAGTTGGTGTGTTTGGTCGGGCAATGTTTTGTTAGAATGTTGATGTTTAACAATGAATGAATGGTGAAGTTTATGTCTTATCAGATTGTGTAGTATTGACAGTGGCTTATGTTGGAAAATGGATGAATGAATGGTGTAGTTTAACAATGAAAGAATGTTTTTGTATTGACATTGTAGTCTATTTATTAATGACAGATTCATGGTAATGTGTGTGATATTTTGTTTGTTTGAGTTTAACATATTATGATGGGTTTTGTGTCAACCGTAACTCAAAGATTCATGACAGAATCTTCACAATCTATTCAATGCACAAGGAAAAAAATGACTTACACATTGCACAAGGGACAACATTACATCTTCAAGCAAATTCATTGCACAACCGAACTACATAAAAAAATCTTACACATTCCACAAAAACATGTCTTAAACATTACAAAATTCTTTCACATTCTACCAAAACAAGTCTTACACATTACATTAAGAAGTCTTACACATTCCACCAAAACATGTCTTACACATTAAACCACCAAACTACTTCATTTTTTTCAAAAAAAAAAAAAAAAAAAAAAAAAAAAAAAAAAAAAAATACAGAATGATCCAAGAAGCAACAAGAGTAAACCACATTTTTTTTTTGCCCGTTTTCTCTGGCTTGCCAACTCGGCTTCAGCCTCGTCAAGACGCCTCTTAAGCCCTGGGATGATTTGTCGAGCTCTTGTGCAAATTGGAGGGTCGATCCAAACATAATACTTGCAGCCCTTCTGACGAGAAAAAAAAATTATACTATCTATCAGATCAAATCGTTTTATGCTTACCCATCCACTTAATTAGGATTTTCTACACAAAAGGAGAAAAAAAATGTACCCGTCCTTTTTTGCAGGCTGCATACCGCCTTCCCGGGTTGTCGTCTGTCCAAGATGTGATCATCACCGTCTTCTTACCGCACCTACAATACTCATCCAAAGTGACTTCAGATGTTTGCCTCCAGATCGCCTCTTCCGCCATTTCTTCAAGATTCAATTTAGGTTTTTGCAATTTGGGGATTTTTTTCTTCGATTTAGGTTTTATAAGATCAGTTATAAGAGAGGATATATGTTCAGACAATTTTATCCCTGTTTTAGAGAAGGATAAGACAAAAAAGCCCCTGAGAATGGCCGCCGGTGACCAGAAACAGGTGAAGTGCAACATTTCACGAAGTTTTGCCTGGTTAAGTGTTGCAAAACGAAGTTTGGTGGACAAAGTGTAAAAAAGCGAATAGTTGAGTAGGCAAAGTGTAATTTTCTCATAAAACTAATAACTAAATATTTTCTAAAGTAATCCATATACATATATACAAATAAAATCATCCATCAAGTAACAAAATAATTAAGCATTTAAATCATACAAGGCAGAAACAAGCAATTATAATAATAATCGAGTAAGCAAATAAATATCATGAAATAAGGCAATAATAATATAAAAACAAATAAACAAATAAATAAAACACAAAGTATCATAATAAACAAAAGGAGAATCACATAATAGGACGAGCACATGACAAATAATAACTGCAAGAATAATGGAATAAAAACAAACGATAATAAAATGCAAGAAAATAAAAATATAATAATACAAGAAATCATATAAATCGAAAAGAACGCTACAAAATTATAGCAATTTTGTATGATTTTCATGTTCAATCACATTCCTCCCAATTGGACAACTACAATTTGTTGGTGACTTCAGATTATCATATATATTGATCCCATAGCCTTTTAATACGAGAGAATTACTCTACAATAGTGTCGTGACCTTGGCTAATACTAGTAATCTCTCTTTGTAACTTGTGAAACAACAGACCATTACACTGTCCATACCTCCTTGCTATATTATCCCCACGGCTCTTTTGCATTGTTTGCATACACCAAGCTCTCAACAATTTCTTTAGACAATGTATTCAAAATCCATGATATAATCATGTAATCTGTTTTT